TGCTCATCCTATCTGACACTGGCATTGCAGTAAGACAGTTCATGTGTTCTCCTCTAAACAACATTGCATATTCAATGTACATATTTTGTTTTTTCATTTATACTATCATAGAAACGACTCTTGACCAATATCTTCTGTAGAAGTAAAAAGTTCATTCATCCTCTCTGAATTGGATGTTATGTTCTGATCAGTGGTGATATTTCACATTCAACGATTTGAGAATGGGCAATTTTAAACACTATCATGAATTTTTATTTGAGATATTTTATACTTTTCTTTATATATTTCTGATAACTAAATATAATAATGATAACTTCATTTCCCTATTTACAACAATTATATCATGCTTAGTAGCCATTACGTTGCAACAGTAATGGACAATTATGAAACGGCAACGTATTTTTACCATTAATCTTCCAACTGTGATCAGGTGGTGAAATGTACAACAACAATAATGTTATATTAAGTGAAAGTAGAAAGTATTGAGATAAAAAAATTCCGGGAGCTTCAGCCCCCCATTGCTACATTCCTAAGTTGATCTCTTTTTCTTTTGTTCTGACTTCTTATTCCAGTTTCTTCTCCTATCCTCTTTGTTCTCTGCATTCTCCTTCCCTCCTATAATTTATTTGTGTGTAAAACTTTTCTCCATTACCTCTCTTCCTTCAACATCTCTTCATTTCTTATAATGGATGAATTGTAGAAATGACAATGGGAATTTACTGGAATGAAATGTGCATTTTCTTATAATGGTGATTTCATAACAATATTTGGGAAAAAATATTTTAGATTGAACAAGTCAGTCAAAAGCTACTGTCCTATTTCTATTGTTTTATCTTAATTTGTTTGATCCTTTGTTATATTTAAACAGTCACTTGTAATCGACAGCTCAACTCCATCTCTATGCAAAGAATTACAACTTTCACATTTTATGAAAATAATTTTGTGAAAGGCACTTCTACTCAAAAAGACAGAAAGAATGGCAAATGTATAATTATTTATTACAAATTAAGACAAAACTTTGAACTAATAATAGTCATATTTAAAAATATTCTGTCATATTTCTGTTGACTTACCATCTAATATGTAACTCACTAGTTATTTTTATGTGTTATAAATTATTCTTTTTCAGTTTCAACTGCCTGTTATATATGGCGACTCAAATAGCCTCAGGAATGCGTTACCTAGAAACATTGAACTTTGTACATCGAGATCTGGCCACTCGGTAAGTTCTATGGTGATAATTATGACACAATTTACAAATTTCTTTTGTTTTTCACAGAAAAACAGCAACAGAAAATTGAAAGGAAAAGAGTGTGTGTACTGTACACTATCTTACATCATGAAATTCTGGCAGCCATAAATTGCAGTTGCTTACCACTAAGAATATAGAATATAGATATTCCATTAAAATATGATAAAGTATCAATATTTTTTGCAAATGTAAGATGATAGCATTTTGGGTTCCATAACATCTGCAGTATCTCCAAAACATTCCAATATACATAGAATAATTTAATTTGTAGTAGTTTATTGGATATAAATTCTTAGAAAAATTAGTAATGTTATGTTATTTGGCATTAGAGAATTCATAATGCTCAAATTTAACAAGTAATTTAGTATTAATTATGATAAATTATTTCCAGGAACTGTCTAGTGGGTAAGGCCTATCAAATCAAAATTTCTGATTTTGGTACGGACAACGAATTATATTCTTCCGATTATTACAAAGTTGATGGCACTGTAGCTTTACCTGTACGTTGGATGGCTTGGGAATCTATATTCCAGGTAATTTAACTCTTTATGTTATTCATTTAAATTGTTATTTCCTTAACCAGTCAAGTGAAGCACATCAATTGTACAAAATAATGTAAACTACCCAAAAACGGTGAAAAATGTTCTATTTAGTTCACTTCGTATTACTAAATACTTCTGAATTATGGCTTTTTGGTAAACAACTTATATTCATGGGTATCTTTGGCATGTAAAATTTTTAAGGACATGAAAGGAAGTGCCCTGCTAAAGTCATTGTGCTTGTATTGCTTCCAAAATCAAGAATGTGAAAAATAAACATGTAACTTCTCCTGATGTAAAGTAAGGAAAATCTATATTGTTTCCATCTTCTTTGCGTTTCATCATCTAAATTTCTATAAAGTGGAAAAATTATTTTCAAAAATATTAACTTTATTTAATTGGATGTTTTCAATAAAACAAAATAAAATATTGCTATAATTTATCTCAATGTATAACAATTATGCTAAATTTATAATCATATTATGCAAAAAAAGACTTGTAACACATTGAAATATGACAAGTGCAGTGTACATGTTCATTTCAAGCAATCTTACTAGACAAGAGATTGTCAAGATATAAAAGGAAATAGCTATTCTACAAATTTATACATTTATTTGGTGTTGTGATATTTTTCAAATTTATTATTGCAAAAGTAATTTATTCTCTTGTATTAAATTTAATAGTTTATAATTACTTTATTTATATGACTTTACAGAGTACCTTTCTTGTGTGGTATTTGTTTGTAGATTTATGCAATGTAAATATTATGGAGTTTTTCTTTAATTTCCATAGGGCAAATACACTACAAAAAGTGATGTTTGGGCCTTTGCTGTAACCCTTTGGGAAATCTTACAACTGGCACGAAGAGTGCCTTTTGTGGAGTTGTCAGATCCACAGGTCCTTGAAAACCTAGCCCACCTGCAATATGATGATGGTAAGTTCTGCCCGTTGCCACGACCTCCATCGCCTGCTTGCACCAAGGACATCTACGATTTAATGTGTGAATGCTGGCGACGACATGAAGCTGAGCGCCCAAGCTTCCGCGAAATTCATCTGTTTTTGCAGCGCAAGAACCTTGGCTATACCCCATTACCAGTGTCGTGATCAACCATAGTGATGGTAGGATGACAATACAACACATATATTTTTCTCATACATCCACTTTCGGCTTGTACAGACAGTCTCGACAATCGCAGTGTTTTATTTGTTAGGAAGGTTTACTCTTCCAACAATATTAATTCCCTATTCTTTAATGAGCATTGATTTAAAATATATTTGTGATGAAGTTTTATGATATATACTACTTTTCCATGAGAAAAGAAAATTTTAATGTACCAATTCTAATCACATCTGTAGCAATATTATGTTTCATGAAATTTTTTTGAATGTACTCTGCAGAATCAGCATATTCATGCAGTTCATATTATTGAGAACAAACACTTTATTTTGTTTGCAGTTCATGTGTGATGTGGCTCTTATACAATTTCTCTATTAGAGAATTATGCTGGGCAGCAAAAGACTGCAATGCTCCTGACAGTTATGGCACTCTTTTGTGCATAGATAAACCTGCAATAAGCCTGCAGTTCCTCTCCTTTCATATGCAAATATGACCAAAATTTGAATGAACGTGAGATTTTTCCAGTGAACAAAATAAAGAAAGTTTGTAATCTGCATGTGTCTGCAAAACTGACATTTTTTAAATTAATATTGCATAAGAGACTTGCAAAATATTTGTTTCAAATATATATAAGATGATTCATAACTTTCCATTTTAAATTATACTGATGTCATATCAAAGAGATTTAAAAACAAACAAAAGTATGTTAATTTTTTTCTGATCTCTTTGCCATGACAAAACTATTGTAGTTGTATGTAGTTTTGTAGACCTATTGACAGATCATTGAAGTGTACCTTCTATTTTGTTATTGAAACAGTTTTACAGACACTGACCCGTCATGAGATGTTAAAAGAAATATTACTCATAATTATGTGGAAGTGATACACAGGGAAAAGAATTTCAGCAAACCTTTAAATTTCAAAGTATCTTCCTCTTGTATTGCAGTTACTGTGGAGGTGTGTTAAGGTAAAGATAGATATGATATTGACCCTTGCAGCTGAGCAGTACTAATGTTGCAATTTAAAAATCGTATTTTTATCAGAATTCAATTTTTTACAAGTAGAAAATCTCTATAAACAATGGTAGATTAAATGTCATTTGTGTAAACTCTACAAGTAGAATTGTAGGGAGTGGAAACCTACAGTAAGCTGGCTGTGGGCTTGTTGAGTAAGTAGGTTGTGCTGCAGTCTGCAAGTCATCTGTTTCTTCCTCTTCCTTACCCTCTTCCCCAGTGGCGCAGGGTAGAAGCGTAGGGCTGAAGCTGGCAGGGAGCAATGGAAACTTCCCTCACAAGAGGGGATTTCTCAAATTGAACTTGGTTCTAACTGGGCTGTACTCCATGCAAGAAAGGAGTTTCATTTTTAGATTAATTTTATATTTTGAGCTGATATTTCATCTAAATGTTTCAGTATTTTATACTTTTATATAATATTCAGAAGATAATTTTTATTTTAGTTAAGAATGATCGCTATTCTTATATTCCTGTTGTGTGCAAATGAAGTCAAACTACATAATGTGAAAAGTTGTAGGCATCAAGAGTTGAACATATTTGCTTCATAACAGTGTGTATATCTGCATGACTGAGTGATTGTGTGTAGATACCATATTTGCTGGCTTATGCCTCATAATTTTTTGCCATCAATTCCTGCTTTTTTGTTTTTTGACATCTCCTCCTTTGAAACGGTTGCAAATGGATACCTAAACCTTACAAATCTATCAAAAAGTAGTAGGCATGTTCCATTAGGTATCTTTCATTGGATACATTGATAAAAAAGTCATAAAATTTAGAACTTGTAATGAGATAATAGTGTAGATATTATGAACAAATTACTCTCAGAATTCTTAAAATTGACACCTACATTTGACGAACAATTTGCCATTTCTGGTGGTTGTTTAAAATTTCAATCATGCCTACATATTTCATCAAAGGGTCCATGGTGTATGTGAGCTGGTGTGGTGTCTTAAGTGTGATAGTGTAACACTGGTTTCAAACTTGAGAATGTATAGCAATGAGCATTGTGATGACAATGCATAGATTGCATTTCTGTGCATCAGGGGTCAGTGGAAAGTAGAGGTACAACTGACCTTCAGAACTCGACACTAAGAAAGGCCTCTATACAAAGCTTTACTGCATACATTTAGATCAAGAAAAATTCATGATCTAAAGAAACATTTTTATTCTGAAGTGGCCTAGATGTTTAAAAAGACAAAATGTGCTTGATGGAGTGCTTTGAGTTCACATGATCCTAAGAAGAGACTACATGCAATGAAAGTATTGAAGAGGGAGGGGAGGAGTGAAAAGATGGTTTAGGGAACAGCCAGTCCTGTATTTCAATCAGGCTGTGCAATAATGGAGGGACGCAAATCTTGGTGGTAGTCATTAGAGAGTAATTTAATTAAAATTGCAACGAATGGGATGAGCAAATCTATGGTTCAGAAATTGAGATGTAGCTTGCTCTCCCACCAAATAGGTCATTTTGTATTTGTGAGTGCGAGCATGAGTGATTGCAGTGAGAACACTTCTTGACAGCGATATTAACGACTATATTTCATTGATAGAAAAAACGTCAAAATGTGTAGCAATGAGTTTCTGGAAATGCAAAAGTATGGATGGCAGCTGGAGAAATTCAATCTTGGAGGTGGATCAAATAGAAAACGCTATCTCCATATTGTGATAATAACTAAAATGGATGGAAAGTTAATTCCTGAAGCTTATGCATGGATGCTGTGTGAATGTGTACATAATTTTGATAAGATGGCCAGAACAAAATACCTAGATTGAGGATGTATGAGTATGAAAAGCGTGTTTGTGTAAGTCTGTATAAGTACGTATGAATACACACACACCAATACACAGGAATACACTTTAGTGTAAACTTTCATGTCTCCTAAATGGTTGATCAATAAAATGTTATTTTACTTCAGCAAATTAATGCAATGCCTTATTGAGACATTACATATCTCTTCACAAAATTTCTTACTACACAGGTACTATTTTAGTCAAAAATATTTTTTTATCGAAATTGACAGCAATTTGGTCATTGCATCTACTCAAATCAATATTTCCAGGAACTGTGTGCCTACAGATTATTACTAAATGGAACATCACATCTCAGCTTTTAGGTTTGATCATATTGGAAAGTGTAACACAAACGTAATCAATAAAAAAAACTATAAGTTCCACAAAACAGAAGCAAATATGAGAGATCATCTCATAGCTATCTTGTTCAATGTTTGAAATGTCATGCTGACTTGATTAGATAAATATCTGGTTGATTGTATGACAATTTTTTTCACAATCTCAAAATGCACAAAAAAATGTGTCTATTATTTGACAGAGAAAATGTCAGAAACAAAATTGAAGAAAGTCTCACTAATAATCTCTTGTGTTATTTCATCTTTATACAAAGTACTTCTTGAAAACTTAATCCAAAAGATAAATTATGCCATTGGTGCCATTTCATTCTTCTGTACGTCCATCTTTTGCATAAAACATAATACCTACATTAAGGCATAACATACACTACTTAAAACATGTAGGACACATTTTCAATTGAATGTAAAACTTGAACTTTATTATTGCATTATTTATTTCCAAACAGTTATGAATTAACTTCTTATGAATGATGGATGTGTTTGTGTAGCTGTTTTCAAATTGAATACCTAATTTAAATTCATACCTCAATAATTGGAGATAATTATTCCTCTCAGGATCTTGTGTGCAGGTGTGTGTATATGTATATGTGAAGCAGTGCATTATGGTATGCATGGAAGCATGCATCCATTCCTGTATGTATGAATGAAGTATATGTGTACATAAGATAAAGCATCACTTTTGTTAGAAGAATGATTTTTCAGGGATTAATGTGTATTTTGTACAGCAGTGATGACACCTTTTTTTATTAATTTACGAGGTCATTGTCATATTACCTGAAATTAAAGAATTTTCTAAGTAAGAAGTACTTTATATTAACAAATAGGTTAATTTATTAAAAAGTGGACATTACACTAACGCCAACATTTGAAAATATATTTTTTGAGCCAGTGAAATAATGAAATCAAATCTGAGATGCCACTTGCTGAAAAGATTTCATACTATTTTGACACCTTTGAAAAGCAATGGAGCAATTTTTATTATTAGTATTATTAATTTTTTAGTTATGTCTATGTATCTGGAAAATTTATATCAATTACACAATGTTTCATATGATGCTCTCAATTATTCACTGTAAAATGATTCAGAGAAGATATCTAATTATTTTTGTATTAAGAAATTGTTATTTGTTATTGTGTGATGGTGATATTTACATGCACACAAAGTGTACAAACAACTTATTTCTAACAAAATATGTGATGCCGTTGTATGTACACATATTTATGCATGATTTGTGTGTAAAAACTAGGCAGTGATAGTTTATAGCATGTACAGATTTCTTACTGTATATAGATATAAATATATATATATAAAAATATAAATATATAAATATATATGAATTTAATCATCTGACGCATGCTAGTCACACAAACAGAAGCCAAGGATTCCACTGCCGCTGTGTTGAATTTGTTTTTGAGCTGTAGTGGTATGAAAATATCAGCATACACAATTAGGAGGTAGAGATAGAATGCCATATGAGAGTTTTTGATAAATAGCATAATTTAAGGAATTGTCTTTCCAGATTTGGTGTTTACATGAAAAATGAATTTAATTTCATCACTGTAAAAGGCTTACAATAGATTGTACAAACTACACACATATTTTTCCATGTAATATTCTGTAGAACTTCTGTTTAGATCACATTCCTACTTTTTTATCCAAGTTGCCCGGGTCACAGTGTTGGTTCAAAGAAGTACATGTAGGCACCAATTTGTTCTTGCAAGAGCACGTAAAAATAGCCTATACTCTCTTTTGTATCTCAAAACAGCAGTATGGTCATTGTGAGAGGGGGTGATTTTGATTTTGTTTTGCACTGTGAATTTAAAACAGCATGTATTTTAAAACATACGCAGCCATTCCAATGTGCAGTAAAATGTGTGGTATTTATTTTGTAAAAGTAAGCCTATTATAAAGCAACAATATTTGTGAGATGCCAAATAATCTCTTCATATTTTTTGGACATGCTGCTGTGCGAGTGTCACAATCATTCATTCATGAAGCAATTAAACCTACAATAATCTCAACATAAATGTTCTATCTTCCTTCAAATGTTGCAATATTTCCCATGGACACATTTCTTTCTTCAAATGAGCCTTGTCCAATGGGTGAAAATGCAGACCTAACCTTTTATCAGGTGTGACAGTCAGCAACATATCAGTGTGCATGGACTGCTTGCACACGAGAAACGAATACCTAGAAATATTACATCCGGCTAATAAATAAACCGTTTGTAAGACTATTAATATATGTACATAGCACAAAATATTATTACCAATAAATGTTCTGCTTTTTTCTAATGTTTGTTTCTGTGTTTTCCCTTTGTTCCTTACATTTGATGTATGAATTAAAGACCTATACCCTATTTTTATCTTTAAAAAAGAAAACAGCTTTCATTGTATGCATTTTATTACAAAATATTTATAGGACAGAAATATAAGCAAATCAAAATGCTGAAAAAGTTACAATTTTTAATGCAACAAAACTAAATTGGAATTCAACCCGTTAAAAATGTAATAAATGTTCATTACTTTTTGTGCAATTTCTTACTAATTATTTGAAATGTTTTAATACATTGTATAACTGGGAAAGACACTATTATTACTCTCATTATTGTCCTTTGGGCAATATTTTAATCATTTAATGAAAGATTCTACACAGAACAAGAACATCAAGCATTTACTTTAATTATTGATAGGAATGATTGGCAATTGAAAAACAGACAACAAATGAGAATGCCAAACCTACATTTATTTTAAAGAGGAACTTCCTTGAAAATAAAACACAAACTATAAATGGCAAATTTAATGGGAAACACATTTTATGGAAAGTTAAGAATTTCAATTTCTTAGAAAGTAGAAGCTCAGGTAGGAGTAATAAAGAAATGTATCATCTTTGGAAGAAATTTCTCCCGAAAGAAACTCAGTCACATTTATCTCTGAAAGATTGTATTTCGCCAATGTATATGTTTGTTAAAATGCACAGTACCAATAAGAATAACAGATTATGGTTTCATTCATGGAGGTAGAGCTGACAGTTTTCGGTAAACAAGTTTTTTTGTAGACTATCTAGTAACAAAATCCATTAAAAGCACACATTACTTATGAACCCACAGCATTTTAAAGATTTTAAGGATGTTGAAAGGCAAGTCAAGGAGTTTGTTGTCCAAGGTTCTTGAAATGGAATAACAATCTGTTCATTTTGTACTAAATTTTTAAAAACTGAACAATTTTAATTCGAAATTTATTGTTTCAAAAGAATTATTTGAATGATAATGTAATTTGTTTTATTTTTTATGATTTCCTCTTGGGAGAACGTGTGATCTTCAATACACATTTGATGTTGTCTATTGTCATGTACTTTAAATCAATTTTTATCGATTTTATTTTTTGCTCAATTTTTAAATATTACTTCAAATTAAAAACAAAAGTTCAGTAAGAAAAAATTTCTTATGAAATAGTCATGCTAATACAAATGGTGAACGCTGCTGACATTCGTTTTGGAAAAAAACATTTGAACTTTTTAAATAATTTTTTCCCAGTATTTGTGTCAAGTGAAATTTTGACAAAAAACGCATTCACTATTTAATAATACTTATTGAAGAGTACGTTAAGCATTAATGACAAAAATTTAGTAGAATTGATAACTATTTTATTACTGAAACAAGAATTGCGGACTGAATCTGTACAAGAGAAAAGCCGGTGCACTTGCATTTGGAGCCAGCAAAAATATATTAATATAGTATGCTACAAATGTTTTGACTTTTTTCACAAATGGATTCCTTTGGCCATTGTGCATTTCACTTTTTAATATAATCTTGAGTTCATATACAAAAAAGATTCTTTAGTATGAAGTTTTGAAATTTTGTGTCCTGAAATCACCTCAAATTTTTACAAGTCAATCTGCAAACTCTGCTCCATCACATTTCAAACTGTTTCCACCAAAACTATATCTATGATTTGTACTTACTGTTAGTGAACGAAACCATAATGAAATGAAAAAACAATAATGAAAATTCCATTATATTTACTGATATTAGTTTATAATTCTCTCCCTATTATAAATAATTGTTTTTAAATTAATGTTTTAGGTACTTTTAAGACAAATTTTAATCAAGTGAGTAACTGTTTAATATAAATGAAACAGTGATTTACAAAAGTAAAAATAATAATACAAAGTAAAAAAATAAAAAAATCTAGACCATGTCTGTTGAATTATTTGAAACAAAGCATTTATTTTAGTCATGCAATAAAGAGATAATTGGAAAATTGAAGGATTATATGGAAAATTGAAGCATTTTATCTCAATATATATTTTTCAAACAGTTATCAGCAAAACTGACCTATAGAATAAAACAATTTTTTTTCTTATTAAAATATTTATTATTTTGGATGCATTTCAGATATTACATATGACTACATAACACAATTAATATAAAGTTAATATTTGTACTTGGAGGCAGTGATGTTCACTGAAATGTGAATTGTTCAAATAAGTCTTGGTTTGTTCAGATAACTAAAACAAAGATTACAGGAAAATGATATGTGTAGTCATAATTATCTTCTTAAATTGAGATCCATTTAAATGTTGCAACATTTTGTGGTAACAATCAGTACAAGATGGTCCTTGGTAACTGAGAAATCACAACTCAAGTTGAGAAAAAGTTAACAATACTAAATATTAAAATAGAGAATACTATGTGTTGTAACAATTATAAGATTTCACAAAAAAAACATTAGAATATGTAAGTCTTTATATATTTGAGAGAACTTTAATCATTATAGAATCTCTAAAGTTAAAATTAAAAGTATGGACTCTCAGATGCAATTATCCTTATTGTTAAATTTATAATTTAAACAAAATTATTCAAAACTGCATAAATTACATCAGTTCTTTTCACATAAAAGAAACATTAATAAAATCTGCTGAAGAATTAATTACATTTATAAGAAAAATACATTTGATGAAAAACAGCAACAATTTTATTATTCCGGCACCTTTTAAAATCTGTATTCAATGTCCTGTAGTAATTCACATAGATAACTTATTTATTATTTCAGCATACTTTAGATCATGGAATGCAGAAATATAAATTTCAAAGCAAAACTAGCAGTAGTGATAATGCCTGCAACTGAAGTCTGATTCTACATACTATAAAAAATTATTGCAGACATTCTTGAGAGCTAGCAAAACTTTGTTAATGCAAGTGGTCGGAAGGTTGGTGGTTTCTATCTTGGAGTAGTACGAGAGTCTATACTTATAACTTAACATTAGATATCCCATAGCAATGATCAATTAATATAAAAAGAAAAAAAAACACACACACACAATAACTAAAAGAAAATATCATTACACTTGCACAGTATATATGCATGTACAAATATATGTAGTCTTATCAAGTTTCAACACTTCAATATTTTCAATTTTTTTTCTTTTGTGCTGATGTTTTCTTTATCATCTTTATCTTTCAAATATTCTGCAACACAATTATACCCTTGTTGACGTGCCTCTGGGTACAATATACCAGTTGGAATTTTGCCAGCTCGAGCTCGGCAAAAGGAACAATTACAGATGCCTCTGCAGACAGGGCATTCCCAATCAGGGTTTTTCAAGGCATCTGCCACTTGTTCACCATACCGTTTTGGTAAACAAATTCCACAGAACATCCCTCTCACCCCAACACATCTTCCAGATCGACAAACTGTCTTTGTATCAAATGTCTTTTGCCTACACTGATGACAAGTAGTGCCGTTCAATTGATCATAAACTTTACATGAACTGCGTTTTGCTATATTAGCCAACATTTCTTCAGTCACTTCCTCGCACGATACTACTGGGACATCATAACAGAATTTAGGGTGAGACATGCGCCTTCGAGTACGTGGAATTTTACCATTAGAATCATCTACATCGTCTGAATCATCAGAATCTTCAGATGCTGAAATACAGAACATGACATTTTTATACTTACTCCAATCATCCTCAGAGTCAGTATCATCATCATGTTTTTTTAGTTGAACTGATCTCCTAACGTGTTTCAATATTATCTGTTTGCATATCTCCTCACTGCGATCATTCCATTCAATGCCCTGATGACCTTCAACATATTCTAATAAATCATTATTATTATTATTTAAAATGTAATTTTTTTGAACTGTTTCCACTAACTTTTCCTCATGCAAAGCGTGATCTTTATTCTTAAATGAAGGATCACTATTCCTTACACCCGAGGCCTCACATACTCCTGGTCCAGCAACTACAGATTCACAATTATTTTTATTTTGGTTATCACCCTCATCAGTTTCAATTTTCTTCTGAACAAGAACTGCCTTATTATTGTTTTCAACAATATCTAAACTTGCGTTTTGATCAGTGACCATCTCCCTTACATAAAAACCACTTACATTTTTATTTTCTTGGTCCTTGCTTTCGTTTTCTCTCGCTTTGTGGTTTGCCTGACAGTTCTCATGGTCCTTAGAGTTGGGCCCTCGTCTATTCAACGCATCGATACTTTCTACGTCAGATTGCCTATCATCATCCAACGATTCTTGGCCATCGGAATCGCAAAATCCCCGAAACCCTTTCACGTATTTCACTGTGTTCGACTTTTTCTGGATTCGAACGGAACGCCGAGCCGGCTTTTCCTCAAATACAGACTTCCTTCGTGCTGATTGGCGCGGTTTACTTCTATCCCGAATTTCTGCTGGTTGGCGCCGTTTATCTCGATCCCCAATTTCCGCAAACAACTGTCTGCCCTCATTAAGAAGGTTGTCCAGACCAAGTTCTGCTAGTAATGCCTGTTTGCGTTCCAAGTTTTTTTTCACCAAAGCAGCATATTCATTATCGCTCTCGCTGTCACTCATTGCAAATTACTTTTCCAACCAGTCGTTACACTAGATGTTGACTAAACGTAATACATGTAACACTTTTGCGTTCAGAGAAATTTTCCAAGTTCTTCTGCGGCACATATGAACTTATACTTTTTCATTAATAAGTATATTTTTTTGTTATTTGACTTTGTCAAACACTAACGTCGGTACATTAGCCCGAATCTGCTAAGCAGATCTTTCTGGCGTCCCAAATACCATCACTCGCACCTATTCCTAATATTGAAGCAACCGCGGGAACTGAAACTGCAAATTACCAACGTCTGGAGTATAACAAAAGAACGAAATCATCAGTACATCCAGAGGGCTAGAAATTTGAGTTATCGTTTCTAGCCCTCTGGCAGCGCGAAGAACCAACGCAATTGCCGCCAAAAGAAGCCCACGGAATATCTATAAATTTTGTTACGCTGTGCTACTGTCTAATTTAAGTATAGTGACTTCTGACACACTGCCAGATTTGTCGCGTCGATACCTGAAAGTTGTAATGAAACTCCCGATTAGATAATCTCATCCACCTTATGATCCGTCAAAAGTCATAATGTTTAAATCGGAGAGAATAGCGTGTTTTGCCGTTTCCTTCCAGCATTAGCACGTTACTTTCGCATCAATAAATAACACGAGACATTGCGTTTACCGGTGGTCGACCGGGCAATACACGTTGGCGCGCATATACTCCGTTTTAAATGTAGTTTAAATCTGTAGGGATGCGGTTAACAATTTACCATACGTTTTAATAGAAGTAAACACTTGGTAGACAAGTCCAGGGTTTCTGACCTGGCTCTGGCACTGTGAATTGTGGTAATAACACGGCCAGAGAGTATTATAACTCTGTGTAACTGTGGAATTTGTGCAATACGGCCAGGGACACAGAGAGTATATTTCAGAGTCGGCACTCAATGTTATTCTGAAGCTCCGTATTTTCATGGAGGGGAGAAGGACGACCTCCCACTCCGACGGAAGCAACGAATCAGAATGAAGTATCC